GCATTATAAATGTAAATTGTACTGCATTGTGTAAATGAAAAAGAGTGAAAAGTCACTCCACTTTATATATCCTGCGAAACGCTTCAAGACATCCTTTTGACGTGAAAGACACTATACCAAATGTAAGATTTATTATTGTGTATTTCCTGTCAAAACATCATAATAATCTTTGCATTTGATATAGAGCCTTTTCATATCATTGAGATGTCTCAAAGCGCTTCACAGAATATACCGTAAAGTGAATTGACTGTATATTTTATCGGCGAAACGCTGCAAGTAATTGAGCACAGCAGTGTCCCACAAACAGTGGTGGACTGAGTGACCAAATTATTTTTTTACATCAACTATGAACAAAAAATAAACACAAATGTTTCATAATAAGTATCTTTTTTCCTTAAAATCCGATTGTCATTTACTCGCCAATCCGAAACCTTAGCGTCTTGTTTGAACCTTAACTCTCCTTTCTATCCCACATCCATGCCATGACCCACTCTGCCTTCCCCCACGTCTGCGACATCGCCCGGCTCCGCTAGGCCGCCGAAACCCTCATACACTTATCCAGGCTCGACTATGCAAACTCCCTGCTTGTTGGGCTCCTCACCTCCTCCCTCCATAGGCTACAGATCATCCAGAAGTCTGCAGCCCATGTCCTCTTCCGTACCAGGCTCTGGGACCCTATCACCCCCATCCTCACCCAACTCCACTGGCTTCCCATTACACAGGGACATCCTCCCAACGTGAAGGGCGCTATACAAATGTAATTTTGCTGTTGTTGTTATTGAGTTCTGTTTAAATGGTTTTGCTAGTCAGCGCTGGCCTACCTAAAATGTCATTTGGTACATAAGACTGGGAGATTTGAAATGCTGGCTTGAGTGAAAGAAATGAAACAGCAATGATGCAGGGGGTGAAAAACATTCAGTTGTAGTATTGGAAATTATTGGCAAATACTATACCACGCCCTGCATTTAAAGAGAGAACAGTTGTTACTTGGTGTGCGAAATGAAAAGGCATCAAAAATAATTTTAAAAATAAGTTGCTGTGGTAGGATTCTAGCAAAAAGCAATGAGAGGATGCTTACTTGTTCATTTTTGAGAAGATTCCATGTCTGTGTAAGGGAGGGAACTAGATAAAAGGTGCTATATCAAATGCAAGGATTATTTATTATTATTTTATCAAAATTTTCTCAAAACTGCACACCCACAAGTCACTGCTGTGTAGACACATCCAAAGTGGCAATTAAACCTTTGCTAAAAATGATTTAATATGAACTGATAACTTGCCCAGTGACTGAGGAAACTGCATAAAGAGGTGGGTAGCAAACATGGCTTACAATCCTTATACAAGAGGGAGCTGAAGCAATTTCAATAACCAAGTGAATATTTCTGTCTCTCTGTACCTCACTGAACCCCCGTGTAATCTCTGGATTTTTTTTTAACCCTCAAGTATCTTTTAAACCTTTCATCCAGGCTCTGTTCCACTTTCCTCCAGGCTCTGATCAATTCCACTTTCCTCCATTTCTCCAACATTGGCTGCCTTCTCCCTCATTCCACTGCTTTCTCCAACTCAGTGCATAACACTGCTTTTTAAAGTTCCACGAGACACTCCCGAGGTGAAAGTGCAAGTTATTTTGGTAGGCAATTATTTTAACACTCTCCTCTATCCTTTCTGCCTTCAAAAACATTGTGTAAACAGGGTGATTTCCACAGCAGAGGAAAATCAGCAGATCCACATGTTAAAGTGGTGCCACAATATACGGGGGTGGGACTGTGGACATCAGATCTGCTGAGTGACGAGGTCAGTTTGTTTTTAAGAAATAACTTGTTTTGATGCGGGTTTCTGAGTAAAATAACACACAAAACGGTGCTGGCAGTGCTTGCTGTACGTGTGACTAAGTTGGCTCATATCAGTTTTCCTTCTGCTAACAGCACCAAGTGCATTAGGGTGCTGTGTGGGGGTGATGACCGGGGGTTGGGGGAGCGCGGGGTATATGGAAACAGGGGGAATGACCAGGATTTGGGGTGTTGACCAGGTTTGTGGGGGGGGTGGGGGACAGGGATTGGGCTGGGGAGGGGTTAGTGATAGGGGTTGGGGGAGGGGTTAGTGATAGGTGTTGGGGGAGGGGTCAGTGACAGGGGTGGGGGGAGGGGTCAGTGACAGGGGGTTGGGGGAGGGGTTAGTGACAGGGGTTGGGGAGGGGTTAGTGATAGGTGTTGGGGGGAGGGGTCAGTGACAGGGGGGGGGAGGGGTCAGGACAGGGGTTGGGGGGGTCAGGACAGGGGTTGGGGGAGGGGTTAGTGACAGGGGTTGGGGGAGGGGTTAGTGACAGGGGTTGGGGGGAGGGGTCAGTGACAGGGGTTGGGGGGAGGGGTCAGTGACAGGGGTTGGGGGAGGGGTTAGTGACAGGGGTTGGGGGGAGGGTTAGTGACAGGGGTTGAGGGAGGGGTTAGTGACAGGGGTTGGGGGGTCAGTGACAGGGGTTGGGGGAGGGGTTAGTGACAGGGGTTGGGGGAGGGGTCAGTGACAGGGGTTGGGGGGAGGGGTCAGTGACAGGGGTGAGGGGAGGGGTTAGTGATAGGTTGGGGGAGGTGTCAGTGACAGGGGTTGGGGAGGGTCAGTGACAGGGTTGGGGGGGGGTTAGTGACAGAGGTTGGGGGAGGGGTCAGTGACAGGGGTTGGGGGAGGGGTCAGTGACAGGGGTTGGGGGAGGGGTCAGTGACAGGGGTTGGGGGGTCAGTGACAGGGGTTGGGGGAGGGGTCAGTGACAGGGATTGGGGGAGGGGTTAGTGACAGGGGTTGGGGGGAGGGGTCAGTGACAGGGGTTGGGGGAGGGGTCAGTGACAGGGGTTGGGGGGGGTCAGTGACAGGGGTTGGGGGAGGGGTTAGTGACAAGGGTTGGGGGAGGGGTCAGTGACAGGGGTGGGGGGTGGGGGTAGTGACAGGGGTTGGGGGAGGGGTCAGTGACAGGGGTTGGGGGGAGGGGTTAGTGACAGGGGTTGGGAGGGGTCAGTGACAGGGGTTGGGGGGAGGGGTTAGTGACAGGGGTTGGGGGTGAAGGGTTGGGAGGGGTCAGTGATAGGGGTTGGGGGAGGGGTCAGTGACAGGGGTTGGGGGAGGGGTCAGGTCAGGGTTTGGGGGGAGGGGTCAGTGACAGGGGTTGGGGGAGGGGTCAGTGACAGGGGTTGGGGGAGGGGTCAGTGACAGGGGTTGGGGGGAGGGGTTAGTGACAGGGGTTGGGGGGGGGTCAGTGACAGGGGTTGGGGGAGGGGTTAGTGACAGGGATTGGGGGAGGGGTTAGTGACAGGGGTTGGGGGGAGGGGTTAGTGACAGGGGTTGAGGGGAGGGGTTAGTGACAGGGGTTGGGGGGAGAGTTAGTGACAGGGGTTGGGGGAGGGTTAGTGACAGGGGTTGGGGGAGGGGTCAGTGACAGGGGTTGGGGGAGGGGTTAGTGACAGGGGTTGGGGGGAGGGTCAGTGACAGGGGTTGGGGGAGGGGTCAGTGACAGGGGTTGGGGGGGGGCAGTGACAGGGGTTGGGGGAGGGGTTAGTGACAGGGGTTGGGGGAGGGTTAGTGATAGGGTTGGGGGAGGGGTAGTGACAGGGTGGGGAGGGGTCAGTGACAGGGGTTGGGGGAGGGGTCAGTGACAGGGGTTGGGGGAGGGGTCAGTGACAGGGGTTGGGGGGGGGGCAGTGACAGGGGTTGGGGGGGCAGTGACAGGTGTTGGGGGAGGGGTTAGTGACGGGGTTGGGGGAGGGGTTAGTGACAGGGGTTGGGGGGGGCAGTGACAGGGTTGGGGGGGGGGTTAGTGACGGGGTTGGGGGAGGGGTTAGTGACAGGGGTTGGGGGAGGGGTCAGTGACAGGGGTTGGGGGAGGGGTCAGTGACAGGGGTTGGGGGAGGGGTAGTGACAGGGGTTGGGGGAGGGGTCAGTGATAGGGGTTGGGGGAGGGGTTAGTGACAGGGGTTGGGGGAGGGGTCAGTGACAGGGGTTGGGGGAGGGGTCAGTGACAGGGGTTGGGGGAGGGGTCAGTGACAGGGGTTGGGGGGGGCAGTGACAGGGGTTGGGGGGGAGTGACAGGTGGGGGAGGGGTTAGTGACGGGGGTTGGGGGAGGGGTAGTGACAGGGGTTGGGGGGGCAGTGACAGGTGTTGGGGGAGGGGTTAGTGACGGGGGTTGGGGGAGGGGTTAGTGACAGGGGTTGGGGAGGGGTCAGTGACAGGGGTTGGGGGAGGGTTAGTGACAGGGGTTGGGGGGGAGGGGTTAGTGACAGGGGTTGGGGGAGGGGTCAGTGATAGGGGTTGGGGGAGGGGTTAGTGACAGGGGTTGGGGGAGGGGTCAGTGACAGGGGTTGGGGGAGGGGTTAGTGACAGGGGTTGGGGGGGGAGGGGTTAGTGACAGGGGTTGGGGGAGGGGTTTAGTGACAGGGGTTGGGGGGGGTCAGTGACAGGGGTTGGGGAGGGGTTAGTGACGGGGGTTGGGGGAGGGGTTAGTGACAGGGGTTGGGGGAGGGGTCAGTGACAGGGGTTGGGGGAGGGGTTAGTGACAGGGGTTGGGGGGAGGGGTTAGTGACAGGGGTTGGGGGAGGGGTCAGTGATAGGGTTGGGGAGGGTTAGTGACAGGGGTTGGGGGAGGGGTCAGTGACAGGGGTTGGGGGAGGGGTTAGTGACAGGGGTTGGGGGGGAGGGGTTAGTGACAGGGGTTGGGGGAGGGGTCAGTGATAGGGGTTGGGGGAGGGTTAGTGACAGGGGTTGGGGGGGAGGGGTTAGTGACAGGGGTTGGGGGAGGGGTCAGTGACAGGGGTTGGGAGGGGTTAGTGACAGGGGTTGGGGGAGGGGTCAGTGACAGGGGTTGGGGGAGGGGTTAGTGACAGGGGTTGGGGGGGGAGGGGGTTAGTGACAGGGGTTGGGGGAGGGGTCAGTGATAGGGGTTGGGGGAGGGGTTAGTGACAGGGGTTGGGGGAGGGGTCAGTGACAGGGGTTGGGGGGGGGCAGTGACAGGGATTACCTTTCGCAGACTCTCTCTCAGGGCCTGGTGTTGCTGAGTGTTGAACGGGTCGGCGCTTTGCGGGGCCGGTTGCTCGGAGTGTGCCCTGTGAGGGGGCAGACGCCGGGGCCCGGGCCCGGGCCGGAGCCAACTGCCGGAGCAGCGCAGCCGCGAGAGCCGAGCGCACGCCATGACACCAGCCGCGTCACTGCCAGCGCTGCACATGCGCAGTCCGCCCCCCAGGACCAGCCAGTGTGAGCTGTGCTGAGCTGCCAGTGCCATGTCAGCTCTGGGCTGTCAATCAGTGCCCAGTGGTGCAGACATCACATCAGTGCCAACTCGTGGGTCTGGGAATTGTTGTGAACTGGGGCTGAACGGCAGATCAGTGTCGACTCTGGTTCAGTGAAAAAGCACATCACTTTTTCTCTTGCAAAGGTTTGAAGCACCAACAATTGAGTAACCACCTGAGTACTCTGCTGATACATTTTCCAGCTGGGTGCATCGGTGCAAAAATGTGCTGAGCAGACCAAGGCAAGTGATAAAACAAGACACCCGAAGAGTTCGAAGCGAGACCACCCAACTGAAAGGATTTAAGCTCATTACATTCAGAGATTTAAAGAAGCAATCTTGTGGGAAGTGTGACAGGCTCGATGACCTACCAACTTTAGGCAGGAATAGGGATATTTTAAATTAAAATGATCTGTGCTGGGGCGGTTAATTAAGCCATAATGTGTATTTAGGCTATTGTTTCTTTAGGTGTTGTGCTTTTTTAAAAATAGATTTAAAGAGGGAATTAAACTTGAAAGCAATATTATAAATAAAATCAGCAGCTAAGTTTCTCTTAAAAAGGTTTGAAGCACCAACAGTAAGTAACCACATAAGTACTTTACTAATAAATTTAAGAACCTCATACTGTATTCCTTTGCCTTGGGACACTAAATCCAAGGAGTGAAGGTCTTGCCAGCAGAGATAGTTGAAATTTAAATCATAGAATTACATGGAAAATTACAGTTCGGAAACAGGTCATTCTGTCCATCTTGCCCAGGGATATATTTATAGGGACATTAGGTATTAAATACATCTCTACAGAACTAATATCTTCAATTTCAAATGAAGTTTCAATGGAAAGTGAGTAATAAAAACCCATGTATGTTTTTGAAACTACCATTTAATCTGAAAATGTACCAATTCCATTTGAGAACTTTTTTTATTAACAATTCTTGCAATTTATATAGCACCTACGACATTGAAGCTCAGAGTGCTTCACAAGGAATTGTTGTTAAGTGTACCTGTTGGCAAATTGAACAGTTAATTTGCACACATCAAGTCTTCCTGCATGTTTATTTGGAAGTTCGGTCATCTTTCCGCCCCCAGACCATTTGCATCCCACCCCTCTTGAATCCAGCCCCCAGCTCAGGTGCAACCCTTGACTGTCCAGCACCTTGGAACATACTCCTGACGTGAAAAGCATTGTATAAACGCAAAATATAAAAAAAGCCAATGGATCTTTAATTCCTTGCTGAACAGGCAGTAGAAACCCTAGTTTAACACTTCAGCTGAAGGACAACACCTCAAAAATGCATCGTAGTCATGGATAGAGTGTCAGTGTAGCTGGAATCAAAAGTCCCAACATGGGGCTCGAACCAAAAATTTTCTGGCTCAGAATTGAGAATGTGACCAACAGAACTGATTTTGTTGTTTGAAACGTTAATTTGCTCTCCCAGCCTCAACCTGAAGCTCTCCCAGACGCTATTCTGGTTGAAGGGCGCTATATAAATGTAAGTTGTTGTTGTTTTCATCTCCAACAAAAAAAATGGATTAAGAAGAAACTCCATTTAAAAACCCAGTTTTAAACTATATTTAAAAAACACAACTGAAAATGCTTGAAAATAAGATAAATGCGTTCAGTTTATATATTTCAATTCTCGGACAAAATGAAGAAATGTTAACAATACTCTATTATTTCAAGCCCTGTACAATGAGTAAGTACTGAGCTCTATAACAAATATGTCTGGCATTTGGCCATTTTGCTGTAAATTAGTGTCCTGTCTGATAAATGGTCAAAATAATCAACTGTCAGCCTGAACTCATCCCTCCACATTGTAAGAAACATTACTCAGTCTTTATAAGTTCAACACTCCCACACTTGACAGGGGTTGGGGGGTGACAGTGGTTGGGGGGTGACAGGGGTTGGGGGGTGACAGTGGTTGGGGGGTGACAGGGGTTGGGGGGTGACTGGGATTGGGGGGTGACTGAGATTGGGGGGTGTCAGGGGTTTGGGGGGTGACAGGGATTGGGGGAAGTAACAGGGGTTGGGGGGTTGACAGGAGTTGGGGGTGACTTCCACACTTCCCACTGCTGATGTGTGATGCTTTCAGATCGTTTACATTTATATTGTGAGCTGTGTGGTGTAACCAATAATGTTGCATTTATTGGGAGCCCTTTTTCATGAAGTATTTCCAATTCCTTACATAACTATAGTAGAATCTGCTAAACTCTTTGGTATGGAACTTTATCACTAGACCAGCTGTTGCAGACTAATAATGCTGACAGAAAAAGAACAGCATTGACCAAATTATTACAATGCTTTGAGACATTGGGGGAAAATTGTGGCATGGGATGTGAAATTATTGTATAACATACCAAATTTCTTTCATCCCCACATACTATAAATGTTCAACATCATCTTGATTCAAATATGTACACCATACTATCTTTAACTACAGTTAAGTCCATTTTACTTCTATGCATGTATTTCCCTTCTGATTTATTTACATTTAAGCATTGGGCAAACCAGCATTATAACCTGTCGTTCCCTTATTTGTCTCAAACACAATCCCTTACATCTCAAGTAAACATTCAATTAGTTTTAAAAGGTGAATTGGATAATACTTGAGGAAAAGTAATATTAAAGGCCATGGGGAAAGAGAATTATAATGAGTCTTTAGCTTCAATGGGGGAGTTAGCATCAGCATAGATACAATGGGCTTAAAAGGCCTCTTTTCAGTGCTGAGAATATTCTCTTATTTTTTGACCAGCATTAATCATAGATAACCCTTTTTAAATACAATTGATTCTTTGCACACACAGCTCCAAGCAGGACTCTCCTTCTCCACCCACTCCTCCAAATGTAGCCCTATTAAATGTACAGCCTGGAAGAAAACAAAATCAAGTCAGTTTGCAGCACTTTGTGTATTGTTTCCATTTCCCCTGATAAACCATACATCCCACCTAAAAATACAAATCCCCAAATGATTCTCAGGAAATGAACAAAAAAGACTCTCCTAAATGACCCTGAGAACTAATAACTGCAGATCAAGGACACCATCAGAAAAAAGATATATTATGCCAACTTTCTCCAGCTGTGGAATAAATAACATTCCAAGTGCCAGCCAACTCCCTTTCAAAAACATACTTCCCCATTTAATATTAGAATAGATGTAGTTCTCTCTCTCACCATCTCTTAAAATTCCATTTATTTTCCAGCATGATAATAATTCTAATCCTTGCATTTGATATAAAGCCTTTCATGTTGGAAGGACATCTCAAAACAGTTCACAGGATTCACTGTAAAGTGTACTAACTGTGTGACTTCCCCTTTTTCAGATTACACCTGAAGACCTTCGTTTTCGACCATGCTCACGGTTACCTCCTCCATTCCACTGGCTCAGTGTCAAACTCTGAGACACTGTCCCATGTGAAGGGCGCTACATAAATGCAAGTTGTTGATGTTGTGCATTGTTTAGGTGAATGTAACAACAAAAACAACAACAACATGGATTTATATAGCGCCCTCCATACCGGACGGCATCTCAGAGCAAGGTTAAACACAGTAATGTTAAACATGCAGGCGTGACCAATTTTATTTGAGGGATTCTTTACCAGGACAACAGAAGCTGGTTACAGTATTTTAGATAGTAAATTTAATATAGCAGTAATTAATTTAATTCACTAATGATATCCTTTTGTTAGTCCTCTATACTATTTGAGTGCAGAATGTGCCTATATACTACCAAACTTTGTATATTTGTATATTTTTACAGTTTACAAATAACAACTTGTGTTTATATCACCAAAGGTAAATAGCCTTGATATCGAAGCATTATGGAGCCATTTGGATACCATTTATGCTTCACCAGCTTGATTTGCTCTGTCAAACGTCATTTATAAGATCACCAAGATCACATGAGTGGTTCGGGTAAAGAAGGCTCTTTAGCCCATTTGATCTCATTCTTCCAGAATATATATCCTTCCAGAATATCCATCCTCCCATCAGAGTATCAAGCTATTTTGTGACTAAGTCCAGAGTTCTGGCCTCATCCACCGTTCTTGGTAATCTGTTCCATCTTTAATTACCTTCTCGGTAAAGAAATACCTCCTGGTGTCTGTCCTGAAATTGCCCTTTGCAGCCCTAAACTTGTGCTGCTGTCTCAGTCGATCCAAAAGTAATCTTTCATATGCTAGTTTCTATATTTACTCATGCCATGTATCTAATGTAATATTGGTAGGTCAGACTTTTATGGAATGGAAAAGTGTATTCAAAAATTTCTGAAGAGCACTGGGATTTATTTCTAGGCAAAGTCTAGGCATGAATAATGATCACTTTGGATAAGGCGCCTGAAGAATGTTGGCTCCTATGGAACAATACCCCAATGGAAGGAAAAATTAGTCATGGTTCTCTAGAGGAGGGGAGGAGTGAAATATAGCAGTGACATTTGATGATAAAAAGATGATAAAAGTTGGAATCCTGTATTTTAAAAAATATATGTATTCAAAAAATTTATGGGCATTTGCAAAGCCTCCAACAGAAATGCTAAAAATGTAAGCAGAAAATTTCAGATATTTCAAATAAATATTCAGTACAATTGGAAAATAACCAATAACATTTCTCCAATGTTTTCTCTCATATATTTAAAATATTAATGTTTACACATATGAGTCCAGGCCAGAGACTGGATTTCAAGGACAAGATAGTTGATTATTTGGGGATGGGGAGCCAGTGGAGCCTGCTGAGGATCAGGGTGACAGGTACAAGATCATAATATTGATTTGGATGAAGTGGGCCTTTCGGCTCATCTGATCTCATCCCTCCAGAATACCCACTCTACTGTACTCCCATCGCAGTATCAAGCTGTTTTTAAATTAGTCCAGTGTACTCTAGTTGTTAATTACCCTCTTGGTAAATAAAAATACCATGATATCTGTCCTGAAATTACCCTGTACAACTTTCAGGTCAGGAGTATGTCAACTGTCTCCAACTGCTGGCTCCAACCGAACCAAGGATTGGAACTGAACAGGGTAGAGAGGGGAAATATTACCAAAGATACGGTCAAAATGGTATGTCTTGATTGTCATTAATGGCTGATTGTAATACCTTGCTGTGTGCAAATTGACTGTTGTGTTGCCTGCAAATATATTACATTTGACAGCAAGTTTCTGTCAATCACTTGAGACATGTTGACATTTTAGGTGCTATATCAAATGCATGGATAAATATAATATTATTTAACAAGTTAACATGTTATTCTAAGACAGGGTGTTTTTTTGGGTACAAGATATGTGCTTTAGACAAAGACAAATACAATGACATTTTCAATATTTTACTTAATAATTTCAGGCCACTGAAACAGTACTGACTTTTAGCATTGCCAGAAATAACCTTGGCTCTAAAGAACGATTACCTGCTTAAAATTCAATCTCATATAGTAAATAGCACAATATGTTAAGGAAACCCTAAAATGAGTTTGTAAATGTTATAGAAGTAATAAAAGGCAATTATTTTTCTTTTGACAGATTATTTGTCATCTGAATGGTTTAAATGACAATGAGAATAAATTTCAGCATTAGTCGTGCACATATTTCTGTATTTCTTAGACTGAAATACTATCGATCTTGAACGTTTATTCAAGTTTGTACATCGATCTTGAATGCAAAATGCACAAAATGTACCTTCAAAACAATGAGCAAAAAAATCCAGGGCGAATTTAAAAGAATACTTGCATCCCGGGATCCCAATTTTCTAGTGCACATTCAAGAGATAGTTCTTCCTTATTATTATGTATTTAAGATCACTTTGTGGAGAAAATATTATTATATTATCATTATTATTAGATATTATTATTATAAAAAATTACAGTATACTGTACATTAACTATATTTTTTTCAAAATCTGATTAACCTTACATAAAGAGTCTTATTAAAAATTTAAATCTTCCAATGTAGTAAATATCATATTATTATTTCAGCATTAACAAATATAATAAATGACTCCGAGTCAGGGTAAAATGGGAATTAATTTGACCAAATCGGGTCTATATTGTGATATTTCTTAATATATCTTGATAAGGAATTGCTCAGGTAAGTAGGCTGTTGACTCATGGGAACTCTGCTCCGGATGCGATCTGATGCCATGTCAATAATATGGTTTTATCGACACAATAAATATCTTTCAGTTGGATTAGTCTGTTTGTTTGAATGTTTTATGTTCTCAGTTATTTAATAACAAATGGAAAATGTGACACACAGACAGTCAAAATGATACTTTTATCGTGAAATAATGTCCTTTATTTTGTTACTGTGATATAATTGGGGAAAATTTAATAATGACCATTGTATTTAGAGTACAAAATCCTACGTTAACCACAGTTCTCTTTTCTCATAGGAGTGTGTCAGCTTAGCTCAGTTATCAACACTTTTTCCTTCTAGAACATAAGGCCTTGGAGCTCACAATCTAGGCTGACTTGGGAACACTGCACGGAAGGTACTATCCTTCAGATGACACATTACGCTGAGATCTGTTGGTTCATGTGAACGTTTAAAATCTCATGAAAAAGCAAAGGGAGTTTCACCCAATCCATGACTAGTAACCCTACAAATAAATTGATCATTCCTTTCAGGGTGGTGTCTGGGACCTGCTGTTCTCAAATTAGCTGCTGTCTTTACCTTTGACTGTACAGTTAAAACACGTGACAGTCTTTGAAGTGATTTGAGATATTTTTGTTGTATACCCTATAGTATAGGAAAAATAAGTCAAAATTCCCTGAGAGGAGGGGAGTGGAGTGGAGAAAATTATTTAATAAGTCTTATGACAAAAAGAAAGAAAAACAAGAATCCTGTATTTTTAAAAATATACTCAAAAGATAACAACACAGCAATGTATCGGCATTTGGAAAGCTCCAACAGAAATATTAAAAATTTAAACAGAAAACTGGAAATATTTCAAATAAATATATTTATAGGGTATACAACAAAAATATCAATTGCAAGGATTATTATTCGCTCACCAAACATACAATCATTCCACATACAATATATCCTGTGAAGAGCTTTGAGATGTCCTCCTAACATGTAAAGATTATTATTGTTATTATTGTGTAAAACCTCAGAGAATAAAATTCTATTACATATTGTTAAATGTGCTATAAATTCCTATTATCAACAACAAATTATCCATGATGAAATTGATAGCTGAACTAAAATTAAATAAAATTTCAAGACATTGTGAATTATAGCAATTTATTTTTATTGTGGCTTTTGAACAGTACCTTACTTGAAACGGGAAATTAATGTAATATATTGTTGACAAATTTCTATACACAGGTTTAGTCTGTACATTCATTAGTTATGAGAATATGTCCATTTTTACACTGCATTTTCAGGAGGTCTTTGCGTGGTTATATATTAAATGATTATTTGTTATAGGGTTATTCTCTGCCAATCGGAAACTGGAGAGAACTTTTTCCAACTCATCATTCATCTTCTTTGGTAGATTTGCTCAATTTTCGGTCTTTTTGTAACAGGTGCGGAAATGCTTTTCTTTTAAAAATAAAATCTCATAAGTTAACTCAAAGATGCCGTGCCAACTAAGATGCTGTCTCCTTTTCTGCTCTTTCTTCCAGGTTTAGCATCTATAGGGTTTTGTCGCAATAATGGTTGCTAAGCTGTGGAAAATGATCTGATGCTTTTAGGATGTCCAAGTCCTATCTGATTTAAGTGATCACACAACCACCTTTCTCCTTGAAAGGATTCTTATCCTCAGCAATTCCTTTTACCAGAATATCATCTGCTGTCTGAGATTCAATGTAATCTTTCAGTTCCTCTGCACATTTGGATACCTGATTAAAGTGAAGGAAGACAATGTCAGATTACATGTTATAAAACAGAAAAACTTAACATTTTCTCACAATTGATAAAGTGCCTGGTGCTAAAATGATTAGTAATATAAAGTAATATATGGATGTCCGGAAGTTGTTCCTGTTTACCTTAACAGAGCCACCCTCACATATGACCAACATAGGTTTAATAAGGGAAAACTAAACCGAATGGGAGAATAACCTTAGCAGGGATTTAGACTTATCTAGCGTAGGTCAGGACACCTTCAAGAGTTCATCTGTTGTAACAATGTCCCTGCATCACTAATCCCCGTTTAACATTGAGGATTTTTGCTGACAATCTGAAGCTTCTTAATATAGCTATCGTCACTGTAAATATTACTCCAACTGCTCTTGCAGTAAATTGAATAAATTGTAGATTGTCAAATTTTAATCAGGACATTTACAGTAAAATATTAACTCAATTTTAAAATTTATCATATCTAATATTAGATTTAAGATTTAACAATTATATCATTACGTTTGGTTACAACAGACTGGTGGATTATAGATATAATAACATAATAAATAATAATCTTGCATTTGATAAAGCGCCTTATCGCGTCTTTGAGACGTCTCAAAGCATTTCACAGAATATACTGCAAAAGTAAATTGACTATTATTTGTGGGCGAACAGCAACAGCCAATTGCACACAGCAGTGTCCCACAAACAGTCGGGGATTGAGCGACAAATTTATTATTATTATTTTTTCCCAGAAAAGCGATCTGCCAATTGACTTACAACGGGGTTCCTACTTACCTGTTTACCTGCTAGGTAAACAGAGGTGTGTGGAGTAAGGAAAGTTGCCCAACCTGTCGGGAATCAAACCCAGGTCTATCGCTTGCGAGGTGAGTGTTTTAACCACTGAGCTACAGGACTCCATAATGATCCTTATATTCAATATTGTAACTCGTTACATCATCAAAGCGTCTCAAAGCTCTTCACGTGATTTTTACTATGAAGTATAGTATTTCTAAATGAACTATAACAAAAGCATGTCACCCATTAAGGTTCTTTCATGAGTCTTTCGAGCCATGAGGTTAGCATAATTGTGCTGAATGGCAGCCCATTTCTAAGTGCTCTGTTTATGGAGCAGTTATTGGGGGTTAACCATTCAAAGTACTTATTGTTGGACCGAGGAATGGATCATATATGTTGAAACATATGTCAGTGAAGAGATTTTTCATAGTTTTGACAATTTTTTCTTCTCCTTCCATCATCCCCACTCATCAAAAATGTGTCAGTGCTTTAGGAAATAAACACTTTAACTCACCCAGTATCTTCCACGGCAAGTCAAAATATAAAATAATTTTGCAAATGATCAAACTTTTGGGATGAATTGGATTTTTAAAAAGTAATCCTTCATTTTCATTTATCTTTTGCTGATGCTATTCAAATGAGTTGGATAAGTTGGATTGTCTGAAAGTTTGGGTAAAGAATGTGGCAGCCTGAGAGAACAGCAATAGGTAGACATGCCAATTTACTGCTCAGTGCTCTCCACTCATAAACAGGAGCACTCTTACCAATTGTCTCTCTAGTTTTACTTCTTTACGCAGCTGCTCTACTTCCAGTTTTGCACGATCCTTATCTGATAATTCATCCATCCTGGCCTCTTCGTTATCTTAGCAAAAAAAAGGCAAATATTATTGTATTGTTATAATATTATAATATTATTAAATTTGATTATAAAATAGATATCAAATGCAGACAGATTAAGGTATTTTATCTTTCGTTCTTATGGATAGTGTGATACATACTTGGGTTGAAATTTTACCTGGGTCTACGTTTACTCTATTTACTTAGCATTTCAGAACATTCAGATTTTTGGCAAATTGTTGAATTCAGTCTTAACTTTGAAGCCAGTTTTTTGTTTTTCTTAAAAGAACTTAAACAAAACAAGTTTACAAATTAAGAGCGAATTTTTGAATTTTCCAAATTCTGAACGCTCTGAAATGCTATGTAAATCGAATAAATCTAGACCCAAGTGGAATTTCTCCAAAGAGATGTACAAACAACAAACTCACCTGTCCCAGGGTAAGTTCAGCTCTTACACTGGTGAGCTAACAGTAAGAGACCCTTCTGCCCCAAACACACGTCCCTTTACTTCCACACTCCACCAAATCTTCCTTGAGCAACCTTTCAAGGGTTTTAAAGCAAGGGTCATAATATCTTAAGCGTATAATATGATTAAATCAAGAGCTTGCACAGATTTAATTTTAAGAGGGAGAGAGAAAAACAAAACGCTCATTTGTTTAATGAAAACATTCATCAAAGATAATGTTCCAAATTAATATGTGCAAACTTAAAAGGAAATAAATGTTTTCAAACTCAAATCCTTCAATGTGCAGCCCTCCAGTAAATACATTTGGTTTTCCTTTAAATGACATTTGTTCAGAAACTGGGTCGTATTGACGTGGGTAGCAGTAATCCTCAGAAATCTTATCACTCTGTTTATTGGGTCTTAAATAGGTGCTCCAGCGAGCCCTTTTTTGAGAATATGAATATTTCTTGCATCTATTATAGTGCCTTATTAAACCCTCTGAAGGTCTCCAAACCCTTCACATGATTTTACAGTAAAATGTAATGACTGTGTATTTGTACGCATAGTGTTTGCTGCACGACTTTTTAGTGTTCTAGAAATTAATGTTATCAGCTTGTTGGCTGTACAGTTTAAAGCTGATCCTCTGTATAAGCTGGCCCTTTAAAAAAGGATCGCAACAGCAAAACAAATACAATCTCACTTCCCATATGAAGGAAATGGGAACTGAAGAAAGCTCCCCTCCCTTTCCCCTGGGTTCAAACTCATAATTTACTCCATTGTGTCTGAATCCAATGCCTTTAACGCTGAGCGCCTGCTTTCCTTTATGTTCTGGCGCATTTCCTCATATTTGTTCCTTTAATTAATTAACAGATTCATCTGCAAAACACTGATCTTCTCAAATGATGGCTTTATGTTTAGCAGATTATTTAGCAAGAACTAAGTACCTTTGTGGACTGACAGATCCATGTCAAATCATTAATATAGAAATTATCTGCTTTAAAACACCCAGAGTCAATGTGGATTTGGATGTAACCTGTTGGCAGGAATGGAATGGTAGGCAGCACTTTGAAACATGGGGGATCTCCAAGTTCTTCCTCTTCTAAACATCGCAGGAAATGTTTTCTTTTGAATTGTTTAACCCTTATCTACACACAAGAAATCAGCCATAAACACATCAGTTTTAACATAAACACATAAGCAGTTTGGAGTCATTAAGAGTCATTATGGCAACAACGTATATCAATAAGACAGCAAACTATGACCACAGCTAATGTGTTGATATGGTGGGCGTTGTCGATGGTGAAACAGGGAAGAGCCACATCTTTTACTGAGGGAGCTGTGGATTCAATCCAGACTGAGAGTTCTAGGTATGCCGTCTACACGTGGATATTCCTGTGTCTAGAATGGAATGCATGCTCTCTCCCTGAAGGAATACATCCTGCTTACCTAATTCTGGAGAGCATTAGGCTCAGGATGGCAAGAGCCAGGGCTTGAGTGTGCTTTGTGGAACTGCTGGAGTCTAACCAGCTAAAACCACTTAGATTACCATTGATATCACTATCTGGCAAGCTCTCTCACAGCTTATCTAGCTTGGACCACCCTACCCGTTAGGGTTTTGGCTTATAGGGTTAACAGGAGCTGAGTGGGAAGAATCCCATTAGATGGTCTGCCCTTCTAAATCCTACTGATGAACCACGGTGGCTGGGCTGTTATCAGTAGTACTGCAGATCTGCCTGGCTTATGAATCCCACTACCAAGACTGCCAGAGAGGTTTGACTGAATTCTGACATTCTGTTGCCAAGCATGGCTCTCCCTGGAGAGACAGCTTTCCCGACAGCTCTCCCTGGAGAGACACTTCCAAGGAGAATGACTCTGCTTACCTTCCCAGAAGCAGAATAATCACAAATTGGTTAGTTGACAGCTCATACTGGAATACATGAGAGCATTGCCACCATCTTCCTACTCACAGCTCAGACACATATCTCTACTTATTGAGCAGTGGTTCCACCCGTTGGAGATGTGGAGCCTACATAGCAGCTGCTTACCCTCAAACCAATGAAGGTGGATTCCAAGCCTTGGATTATATGAATATACGATCCCAATCCTAACAACCCTAAATTGTAAACTCAAATGTTCAACAATTTAAACTGAGATGTGGTTTGTCAACCATGCAAGGTGGAGTATTGCAGGGAATGTTACTGATAGCTGCTCATGCACTCACAGTGGCTGGTGCAGTGGTGAATTGGCAAAATCCTGAGAACAGATCTCCTGCCTAACCCCTTAACTGTCTTGAGTTACATTGTTCCTAACCTCTGGAACCTTTTCCCTCTATCACTCCACCTTGCCCCCTTTATCTGCTTTTAAATCCCCCCTTAAAACCTACCTCTTCGACCGCTTCTATGGTCACCTTCCTCTTCTCCCTTGCTCAGCATCTGACCATGCCATTGTGAAGTGCTCCAACACATTATTCTACATAAAGGGCACTATATAATTGTGAGTTGTTGTCTTTGTTGAGTGTGTGGTGTGTTCGGGGAAAATGACCTGAAAATTGGAAATGTCATTTTTTTTAGGAAAGAAAAAGGCCTTTGTGGCCCATTGTATATGTGCCACCTTCACTTCAGTTATTTTTAAGTCGCTCTTTGACAGAGATGGCAGTGGCACAGACACCATTATTATAATAACAATAGGAAAACAAATTACATTTGTATAGCGCCTTTCATGTCAGGAGGACGTCCCAAGGTGCTGGACAGTCAGGGATCCACACTTGAGCTGGTGGTTGGGATCAGGAGGAGTGGAGGGCGGGGAGCGTAGGGATAGGAGAGTGACCGAAGGCACGGTCGAAGAGAAGGGTCTTGAGATGTGTCTTGAAGGAGGCAAGGGAGGGGTCGAGCTGGAGGGACTGTGGGATTGAGTTCCAGAGAGTGGGGGAACCTGAGGATGGCAGCCAAAGGCATGGGCAAAAGGAACTTTATCCAGTTCCCTTTTTGAATAATTCTACAGATCAGCTTCAATAGCTACTGTGATAATGACTTCCATCGATTAACAACCCTCTGAGTGAAGAAATGCCCCCTAATCTTGTTCCTGATTCTTCTGCTAATAATCCAGATAAGATAAGAGGATTTTGTACTCTCACTGAAAATAAATTGGGGTGAAGTATGTGACATTTCATAACAGATTTGATGTGGGGATTATCCTCACAAACCCATTTTAAAATGTCTTACTTTCAACCCAATGATGATAGCTAGAAGTAACATAAAGGTAATGTTATATACGTAAATATTTCAAAGCCCCCATATCCGTGCCATGACATGCTATGTCTTCCTCCACCTCCGCAACATTGCCCGACTCCACCTCACCCCACAGGCTGCCAAAACGATCGTACACGCATTCGTTACTTCAAGGCTCGACAACAGAAACTCGTTCCTTGTTGGCCTCCTCAACTCTTCCCTCCACGAGTTGCAGATCATCCAGAGCTCTGCAGCTCATGTGTTCTCCCACACCAGGCTCCGTGACCCTATCACCCCCACCCTCGCCCGACTCCACTGGCTCCCCATCCCTCAGAGGATCGAATTCAAAATCCTCATCCACATTTTCAAGGCCCTCCATGGCCTTGCCCCCTCCTACCTCTCTGACCTGCTGACCCCCTATCAACCTGTCCACTCCCTCCACTCAGCAGGCTCTGGTCTGCTCCAGGTCTCCCGCCCGACCTGCCCTACCATTGGGGGCTGAGCTTTCAGCCTCTCTGCGCCCACCCTTTGGAACTCCATCCCACAATCCTTTCGCCTTGTTCCCTCTCTTGCCTCCTTCAAGGCACGACTTGAGATCCTCCTTTTTGACCATGCCTTTGGCCGCCATCCTAAGTTCCTTTAAGCTTTTAAACGTCCTTTTCCACCAATTATAGTTACACTACAGCTGGTGAAAGTTAAGTGCTGTGAAAAAAGTATCACCACAAGTTTAAGTACTCCAAAAGTTATCCTGCCCGCAGGGTACAATGTAAATGCAAATTGTTGTTGTTATACTGTATTACTGCAGATATGGCAACTATTATAAGGGAGGCAAATTATATGATATTAAATGTCTCCTTATTGGGTGTTTTCTGTTTGTCAGTATAGTTATTAGTCTTGGCAGATGTCTGTCTCCACTGTGCACTTACAATAAAATATTTCCATAGTAAGATCAAGCCAACAAGGTCAGTCAACATGCCAAAAAGTGCAGAAAAATACGCACAGAAGAGCAAGCTCAGTAAATTTACTGATAACTGAAAACTAGCCCTCATTTGTGACGGTTTGGGGAAAAATGCGATCTGAGTCTACATTTACTCTAATTTCTAATCATTTCAGAGTGACTAAATTGCTGAATTCAGTCTTAATTTTGAAACTGGGGTTTTCTCGTAGTTTTTAAAAGAACTTGCAGGAGACCAATTCCAAAATTAAACCTCTATTTAGGAATTTGTCAAATTCTGGACACTCCAAAATGATACATGAATAGAATAAATCTAGACCAGATAAAAATCTTCTCAGGTTAATACTAATTAAATTCTTAGCTGATATGAACTTACTTTTTATGGAATTACGTTAGGTATTTGTATAGAGGACATTATTGAGAATATAGAGAAGACTCCCCCTCTTCTTTTCCATATTTATATACTCCCACTGGGCGATGTCATCCACAAACACAGGGTAAACTTCCACATGTATACGGATGACACACAAATCTACTGTTCAAATCCATTCACTCCCTGGCACCTCCCTACCTCTCCGACCTCCTCACTCCGCAATCCACTACCCGGCGCCTCCGTTTGACTGGCACCGGCCTCCTGCTCATTCCCGCACCCTCCACTCCATCATCGGAGGTCGTGCTTTCAGCCACTATGCCGCAAAGCTCTGGAACACTCTCCCTCAATCCCTCCGCCTTGCCCCCTCTCTCCCCTCTTTCAAGTCCCGCCTGAAAACTTTTCTCTTCGACTGTGGTTACGGCCACCTCCTCACTCCCCCCGGCTCAGAGTCAGGCTCCGCCACTGTTAAGCACTCTGAGACGCTACGCTGTGTGGAGGGCACTATATGTGCAAGTTGTTGTTATAGAATCATAGAATTATACAACATAGAAGGAGGCCATTCGGCCCATTGTAACTGTGCCAGCTCTTTGAAAAGAGCTATCCAAATCAATCCCACTCCCCTGCTCTTTCTCCATAGCCCTGGAAACATATCTTCCCCAAATAATTATTTACTTCTCTCTTAAAAGTTGTCATTGAATCGGCTTCTAGCACCCTTTCAGGCAATGCATTCCAGATCCGAATAACTCGCTGTGTGAAAAAATTTCTCCTCACCTTCCCGCTGTTCCTTTTAGCAACTATTTTAAATCGGTGTCCTCGGGCTACTGACCCACCCGTGGAAATAGTTTCTCCTTGTTCATCCTATCGAATCCCCTCATAATTTTGAAAACTTCTATTAAGTCTCCTCTTATCCTTCTCTGCTCCAAGGAGAATAATTCTAGCTTCTCTAGCCTCTCCCTCATTCCTGGTACCATCCTGATAAATCTCTTTTGCACCCTTGACCCCTTCCTTAAGTGTGGTGCCCAGAACTGAACACAGTACTCTAGTTGAGACCTAACCAGTGATTTATAAAAGTTCATCATAACTTCCTGACTTTTGTATTCTATGCCCCTATTTATAAAGCCTAATATCTCATATGCTTTTTTAACAGCTTTATCTACCTGTCCTGCCACCTTCACAGATTTACTTAAATGAACCCCCCCACGTCTCTCTCTTCCTTCACCCCCTTTAAGATTGTACCATCAGCTCATATTACCTCGCCTCATTTTTCTTCCAAAGTGCATCACTTCACATTTCTCCACATTAATCGGCCACTTGTCTGCCCATTTTACCAGTCTGTCTATGTCCATTTGCAGTGTGCAACTATCCTCCTCACTGTTTACTATTTTTCCTAGCTTAGTATCATCTGCAAACTTGGAAATTGTACTCCCTATACCCACGTCCAGGTCATTTATATAGATCAAAAACATTAGTGATCCCAATACTGACCCCTGGGGGACACCACTCCACACTTCCCTCCAGTCAGAAAAACAACCGTTCGCCATCACTCTCTGCTTTCTGTCTCCCGGCCAGTTCTGTATCCGTGTTGCCACAGTCCCTATAACACCATGGGCTTTTGCTTACAAGTCTCTTATGTGGCACTTTATCAAACGCCTTTCGAAAATCCATATAAACTACATCAACTGCACTACCTTCATCCACTCTCTCCTTTACTTCATCAAAAAACTCTTATCGGGTTTGTTAGACATGATTTGCCTTTAACAAATATGTGTTGGCTATCCTTTATTAACTCATATTTTTCTAAGTGAAAATTTATTTTGTCCCAGGTTATAGTCTCTATTTATTTTGTCACGGATTATAGTCTTGTTGTTGTTATTGGTTCAGTCTAGACCTGCATGCTCTTAATAGACCTCCATTAAATATTATTACATGGGAAATTAAATATATACACATTTATTAAGATGTATTACATCAGTGGTGTAGGAAACCAAACAACAAAGAGTTATAGCGTTAACAAAGAGAATAGGAAGTGCAGGAAACCACTTTTAGTAAACAGAAATGTTTCATGTGAACCAGACTACCATCACAAGTGGTGAAATAAATAACTATACAAGGGTTTTAAAAGGAACAGGACATGTTTGTGGAAATGAATGGATTTGGAGATCCATAATTAGATGTGAGATAGATGTTTGAAGGAATCGTTAGAAATGTGGATGAAAGGTCTACTCTTGCCTGATACCTTTACAGTTACTATTGGATAGGATAGATTTTGAGAAATAGTATTGAGTGAAAAATCAAAGCAGCAATAAAGAGATAAAAAAAAATTTAAGACGAAATAATGAGGGAGAAATTCTACCTGGGTCTACATTTACTCTATTCATGTAATACTTCAGAGCATCCGGACCTTGCCTAATTGTTATATTCAGTCTTAACTTTGAAGGTAATTTCCTGAAGTGCTTAAAATGAATTTAGAGAAAACTGGCTTCAAATCTAAGGCTGTGTTTGAGAATTTGTCAAATTCTGGAGCCTCTAAAATGTTATATAAGTAAGAGTAAATCTAGACTCATGTGGAATTTCTCCCCAATCTTTTTTATTAAATAAAAAAAAGTTACAGAGCGATGTAATATCTTGCGTAAGGTCAGTAGATTTTGTGAGAACTAGAGGAAAACTCAAATATGCTATTAACAATGATGTATATGGGTTATACCTCAGTTTAATTACACAATCGACACTGACATCATGAATTTTTCCACTTAACGTGTGGGTTGTTGCTCGCTGTGTGGCTGGAATGCATGCGTGCTGGAGGGCGGGGGGACACCCTGTATAAATGTTGTGAGTCTGTGGCTGAAGTTCAGTGAGTGAGTGACAGGGGAAAGGCATCTGGTGCAACCAACTGAGCTGACATCCAACCGACTGAGCTGACATCCAACCCACTGAGCTCACACCCAACCGACTGAGCTGATACCCAACCCACTGAGCTGACTGACATCCCAGCAGCCACACACTTAAAGAGCGAAGACACGACAGACAGAAGAGTCCGAGTAACTCACCCCTTAGTTTGACAAAGCCTTTCAGAGAGAGTCATGGCTTTCAACTTGTTCACAGCGATCTGCAGCATCTGGATCCTGTCTGCTCCCTGCAGCCTGGCGAAAGGTAATACAATACTCCGGCTCCAAACACTAGTTCCAGACTGTGATTGTTTTGCTTGAGCAGCTGCAAAAGTTGAGATCGAGCTTTCTTTTATTTGTTTCAACAAAAATCTTGCAGGAATACTGATAAAAAAAACAAGTTCACCTTCTCCTGAAACTTTACTGTTACCCTTGAACGGTAGGATCCTAAATGAGAAGAGCTCTTTGTGCTGTATATATATGTGTGTGTGTGTGTGTGTGTATGAATGATACGAAGTGGCTTACTTGTAGATGGAAGGGCCCTTGTACTCTCAGGGGAGGTCACAGCAGAGTTTGTCCAGCATTAAGGCTAAGATCAAGTGTAGTCTCTGTTCTTATACAGTTACTTCTGGGGTTAGTATTGTTGGGGAAGCTCATCTCCAGTTGAGATTTCTGAACCAATCTCACCTATAACTGGCAAATTTATGGGAAAGATTGAGCTCCCAGCTGCAGTTATGCTTTCAGCCCCTATGTTGGTTGGGATCTGTATTGCAGTATTTTTTTCCGATCCAAGAAGTTTGATCTGCTCTCACAGAGAGGAAGCAGAGAATACTTGAACTCGGAGCTACCTGGAGCACTTGGTCGCCAGGCTCTGGCCAGGCTTGCCCAGCTGGAGAGATGGTCCTGTAGCTCAGTGGTTAGAGCACTTGCTTTGCAAGTGAGAGACCTGAGTTCAATTCCTTGGGCAAGTTTCCTTACTCCACACACCTAATAATAATCCCTCCAAAAAAATACAACAATATAAATTGGTCATTTTCAAACCACGACTGTTTGTGGGACACTGCTGTGTGCAATTGGCTGCCGCGTTCGCCCACAAATATACAGTCAATTCACTTTACAGTATATTCTGTGAAGCGCTTTGGGACGTCTAGAAGATGTGAAAAGCGCTATATCAAATGCAAGGATTATTATTATTATTACAGTCAATTCACTTTACAGTATATTCTGTGAAGCGCTTTGGGACGTCTAGAAGATGTGAAAAGTGCTATATCAAATGCAAGGATTATTATTATTATTATTATGGTCTGGTCACCTGACTTGCACGGGTGGTCGTGAAGACATGGTTCAGATCTGCATTGTCCTTTGATGATTTGGGGCCTAAAAGTGTTTGGGGGATTAGGGTTTGTCTGTGGGGACATAACCCTCGTTCCCAAAGTGGAACATTTTGGTGTATTTCGGCTTAATGGAGGGTGAGCAAGTCTAACCTCGCTCGCCGGTTTAATAAAACAAGAAATGCAAATATTTAGTTCCAAGGCTGAACACTGCACAAACGTAATAAACGTGCCTTTGTGTTTATTAATTCATTTTTATTTATATACTATATTTATTCAAAACGAGAAGGGAGTTTCTTCCCATGTCCTGGCCAACAATCCTCCAGAGAGAAAAAAAACTTTCTTTATAGGTCATTGCTGTGCACATATTGGCAGCAGCCTTCACCTACAAATACACTATGCTTCACTCTTTGAAGTACTTTGAGACATTTCAACATATACGGAGGTATATCATATACAAAAATTATAAAATATATTTATTTCAAAACGTTTGTTATGATTCTAGAGTAGCAATTCTTACAGAGTTGGTAAATTCACCACCTCTGATGAGTGAGAGCATGCATCTATATTCTCTGCTGGTCAGTAACTTACAAGTACAATACAAAATTACATTGGGTTACTGCCTTTCACATCGGGAGGACGTCTCAAGGCGCTGACCTTGGGCAGTGTAAGTTTATAATGCAAACATCCTGCCAAGGCCAGTACATCAGCCTTTGATTGTCCTTCCAAAGAGTAAGGTTGAGAATGCAAATAGTTTCTCAGTGTTTTGTGGCGTTCTTCTGATGTGATAAGCGCTATATAAATGTAATTTTACTGTTGTTGTTTCAGACTAATGGTCTCTCTGATTCAAGACAAAAGAACCTTAACTGACAATTCTCCAAATAAAAGTGGTCATTCACATCATAGCTGTTTGTGGGACATTGTTCTGCACAAACTGCTGCATTTGTCTACACAATGCACACTCATTACAGTTTACAGTATGCTAGAATTTCCATATATCTCATTTTAGAAGTCGGTTACTCTATAACTCCAGGCATTGTAGTACTCGGAGCACACTCTTGTTTTATTAGACATAAATCAGAAGGAAGAGTGGCACACTCTGTTCTTTACTTGTTGGTCTGCAAAGTTGCGGCTCATTTACAGCAAATAATAATCCTTGCATTTGATATTTAATATAGTATCTCCAATGCAGCATTGAGGGTGGGAGGGGTGGGGAGGGAGAATTGTTGCATTGTTGGAGGTCATTTAAACTGAGATCCACCTGCCTATTCAGGTGGAAATTAAAGATCCCAGGGCACAATTTGAAAAGTGGGGAGTTTTTCCCGGTGTCCTGGATAACAATCTCCAAAATAAAATTGGTCACTCATTTTATTGCTGTTGTGGGACAATGCTGTGTGCAATTGTGCTGCCATAGTCGCCTACAAATACACAATCACTCCCATTTCACAGTAATTCCTGTGAAGCACTTTGAGACGTCCTTTTGACATAAAAACAACAACAACAACAAGATTACATTTGTATAGCGCCTTTCACGTCGGGAGGACGTCCCAAGGCGCTGGACAAAATGGCGCTATACCAAATGCAAGGATAATTATTATTATTATCTATAATATTGAAACATCTCAAAGAGTTCATAGGTCATTGCTGTAAAGTGTGGTGACTTTGTACTTGTAGGCAAATGAAACAGCCAACATGTGTTCAGCAATGTCCGAGAAACAGCCATGAAATGAATGATTAATTTATCCATTGACCATAATGCTGGGTGAAATTCCCTTCTCTTTTGAAATATTGCCATAGGATCTTTAACATCCATGTGAAAATGCAGATGGTACCTTGGGAACATTTCATCCAAAAGTTGGGACCTCTGACAATGCAGTGCTCCTCTAACACAGCGCGGGAGTGACAGTCTGAATAATGAGTCTCAAGTCTCAATGTTGGGTTAGAATCCACAACCTTCTGACTCAGATGGGACTAGTTGAGGCCAAGCTGTCAAGCGTACGCAACATGATCCTGTTTACTCTTAATATAGTTAAAAGTTTAAAACTTTCCATTGCTTAACCTGCAGCTTGTGCAAGGCTACATGTGTGTTCCTTGTTTGGCTTATTTAAATCGTTGAATCAATTCTCCAAGCATATTTTGCAAATGGAAAAGTCAGTGAATCCTTCAGGCTATTTGGTATCTCCTGCCAACACACAAACTGAAGTTGGGCAGAACTGACTGTAACCCTTGTGAGATCTCATTCAGTTCAGAATAGATTTACTGTAGGACTCTTGTGCTGTTAGTATGCTGGAAATTTCATGCTGTGTTCATGCTTTTAGTGGTGTAACCATGGTACATAATTCTCAGTATAGAACTGCCAAATACAAAGAAATGTCAGGAAATCGCCTGCTGAGCTATGTCTCCAGTTTCAGGGTGTTCACAGTTCTCAGGATTTTTTACCCTGCATTATGTAGTGGCTGTTTCCGATAGATTGTTCTTTTTAGTTATCAAGCAGTACAAGTTTTTTGCGTAATATTGTGTGAATAGAAACATACCCCATAGCCAAACATTACCTTAAAATATTATTGAGCATTTTTATATGATCATTGATCAAGACCCATTAAGACCATTCTTTTTGGTATACAAATATCGTTACCATTTCAGTGTCCATTTTAGATGTCGTCTGACTCAGTTGGTAACATTCCACCTCTGAGACAAAGGTTATGGGTTCAAGTCCTTCAGGACTTGAGACTTGTAGGGTAGGCTGATACTCCAACACAGTGCTGGAGGAGTATTGCTTTGGCAGAGGTGCCAATCAGTTGAGAAGCCCAACTACCCGTTCAGATGAATGTTAAAGATTCCATGACACTATTCACGTAGAGAAGAGTGGACATCCTTTCAGGTTTGTGGGACATAGCTGTGTACAAATTAGCTGCACTCACATACCAATACACAGTCACTCCACTTTACAGAAAAACTCTATGATGTGTTTGAGAAGTTTCAAAGTATTCAGGCTCTGTATTATTATTATTAAAAAGTAATTTCCCATCTGCTTTAACTTCATCTACAGAGTAGATTTGAACAGGTGCTCTTAAGAGTATTTAGTGATCACCTTATTCATTTTAATAGTATCTCTTATCTGTGTTGCAAGTCTTCCTTTTCTATTGTTAACTTTTGACAACACAAAACCTAGATGTTTGTGTTTGATTTACAAATTGAATTTGTTCCACTCGTTACAAATTTGTGACTTCTGACTGGCAAATTCCATAAAAAGACCAGCGAGCAAAACAACATAAACAGGGAGGCACCAACCGGAAATTGTGATTAACCCAACAAATCCGTCCTTTCAATAGATCTTTCTATTTTTTACAATTTATTTTTAAATTGTATGTGATGTTTCCCACCACAAAGTGTGTTAATTGACCAGTACATTTTTTGTCTGTTATTATTTCTGTAAAATTCACCATCCTTTGTTTATACCAGTCATCTTTCTATACCAGCTTAACAGAAAATGCACCTTTATCTTTCCAGATAACCGAGAAATCTGCTTGCAGTTACCAGATCGAGGACCCTGCAGAGCCATGCTAACTCAATATTTCTACAACCGATATACTCAGAAATGTGAGGAATTTGAATATGGCGGTTGCATGGGCAATGATAATTTGTTTGAAACAATGAGCCATTGCAATTCGGCATGCCTAAGAATTAAAGGTAAGTTTCTGTTCAAGCATTCTTTTTTTCCTGTGTGAGTAATACTAACAGCACATGTTACACTGCGCCTAAAATCATGACAGGATGGATGAGGTCACGAATAATTTAAAAAGCTTTAAATAAAATGTAAAACAAAAAGACTCTATTGAAAGGAATTTCTTGCTACCCAGAATACAGAGAGTGTTAATCAAAGTTACAAATGACATTCTGTCCATCTGTGACCTGTCTGTGACATCTGTGGGTTCAATTCCAGGCAGGACGAAACCTTGGGCAAGTTTCCTTACTCCACACAGAGCCTAATAATAATCCCTCCAAAACCAAAAACAATAATAAATTGGTCATTTTCAATCTACGACTGTTTGTGGGACATTGCTGTGCGCAATTGGCTGCCGCGTTTGCCCACAAATATACAGTAAATTTACTTTACAGTGTGTTCTGTGAAGCGCTTTGGGACGTCCTCCCGACGTGAAAAGCGCTATATCAAATGCAAGGATTATTATTATTATTATCATCATCATCATCATCATCATCATCATCATCATCATCATCATCATCATCATCATCATCATCATCCATCATCATCATCATCATCATCATCATCATCATCATTATTATTATTATTATTATTATTATTATTATTATCTATCTCTGTCTCTCCCGGTCCTTCTTGATCTCTCTGCCAACTTCGACAAAAAGAACCTCTGCGTCTTGTTCGACCTTCACCTGGCTTTTAATCCCCACATCCATGTCTGCTTGGTGGGCACTGGCCTGCTCCATATTCCCCTCCCTGCCCACTCTTACTTTTGGGTAAATTTCCTGCTGCTGGAGCTAGATCGCTTTGTGTTACAACGGAAAACGCTCTTTGACCGTGGTCATCCTCCCACCTCCACACCCTTGACTTCCACCCCTCTTGACTCCAACCCTTAGCTCAGGTACAAACCTTTCACTGTCCAGTGCCTTGGGGTGCCCTCCTGATGTGAAAGGTGCCATATTAATGCAATTAATTGTGTTGTTATTGTTATTGATGCTGCTGCTTATTGAAAGAGATTTATATAAAGTTTGTTTAGACTACAAAATGAGCTGTGCAGCCAACGCTTGTGTGGTACATATTAGGAGTTGGAAAGGCAAAGCAGAAGTTTGTATCCACCTTTGAGCTAGGAGGAATGTCATTCATGCTCAACATTTCAATTATGCCCAGTTTTTTTGATTTGCTTTGTTTTAGTGTGATTTTTTTGAATTGTTATTGACTTCATGGGAACCATTTTTTGAATAATAAATATGAAAATATATATTTTTCATGCCTTACCTTGTAAATCTAATTCTTACTTGAACAATTGAGCAATACGTGAACAATTAATGGAGCTGCTGTGTTTAATGCAATATTTTAAATTGCAGTGGTTCCCAAAGTCTGCAGATTGATGGCAGCCACAGGACCGGGTCGTGCTCTCTTCACCAGATATCACTACAACTTAACATCGGACAGATGTGAGGAGTTTACTTATGGTGGGCTTTTTGGAAATGGCAACATATTCAGAGACAAGGCTTCTTGCCAGCGCCGTTGTAAGCCTGTGAATCGTAAGTACTATTTTTATCTTTGCTGTCTTAATTTTAAACCCTTTTGAGCAGGGTCTGCTTGCTACCTGCAGAGAGTTAGATGGTTACCAATGTATGAATTTTTTTTACAGCTATGCCATCATTCTGCGCCACGGCATCGGACAGAGGACGTTGTTCAGCAGATGTCCTACGGTATTACTTCAATGTAAAGACCCACACTTGTGAGACGTTTAGCTACTCTGGCTGTGGTGGTAATGACAATAACTTCACATCTGCTAAAGTTTGCCGACAGGTTTGTCAAAAACGTGAGTACTGAAGTCTGTAATAAAGCTTTGAAGATGTTGCGTCTCTTTGTCAGGAAACTGCCTTATGATATACTGGCTGCAGAATTTATCAGTCATCTCACACAATTTATTTCAAAGTGACCATGTCACATGTACTCAGTGAAACACTCACTTGGATTTTCTGTGCAGGGCTAGCTTTGATGCGTGATATGGATTCTTTAGTAAAACAATATGCGATCCATGCCATAAACTGATTTAAAAAATCTTTCTTTAACCAAGCAGAAACTATAGAATAACTAAAGGCTATGGATTTGTTGGTGCGTTAATGGGAGATGAGGAATTGTCACCTTTCAGCATAAATGTTTAATAGTCCTTGCAATTGATATAACACCTTATAATATTGTCCCAAAGCGCTTCCCAGTATTTTAGTGACTGTGAATTTGTAGGCGAACATGGCAACCAATGTGCGTACAGCAATGTCCTACCAACATTTATGAAATGGGTGACCATTTTCATTCGGGGTTTTGTTGACCAGGACACCAGAAGAAATTTCCTTCTCTTTTCAATTAGAACCGTGGGATCTTTAACGTCCACCTGCACAGGCAAACGGGATTTCGGTTTAACATTTCATCCAAACGATGACACGTTCAACAATACAGCAAACCCTGATCACTGAAGTGGGAGTGCCAGCCTGGACTGCGATTACAATATGATATTGGGAATTTGGGATGTGTTAGTTAAATGATACTTATATAATAACCAGTAATAGATTCACTTTTTATTTATAATTGTTTTTTGACAGGTAACAAAAAGAAAACATCTCAAAAATATCCTACTGCGTCAATCACTAGAAAAGTTGTGAAAAAAAATTCAAGAAAAAAGTTTTTGAAAAATCCATACTAAGCAAATTAAATGTGTATTATTATTAACAATAGGATGATTTTTTTTCTTCATCTATTTTTTGAAAATGGGAAACGATTGAAATGTTATTGAAAAAGTTAAAACCTTGAGCTGCATGATCCTTGGAATGAATGAGCTTGATGGACTGACTGATATTTTCTTGTTCTATTTTTCTTTGCCGTTCTTCTTATTTTCAGTTTTGGCAAGCAGAAAGACTTGCAAACAGAATGAAAGATGTAACAATTAAAAACATTGTGATCAGGACTTGTGTTTTTTGCAGAAAAATCACATACCCTCTTTCTCCTGGTTAAGAAGTCCCTTGAATTGTACCAGACTAGTTCCCTATTGACCATCTCTTCTTTATTGCAAACATATCTTTACTTCAATGTATGTGTTGATGTTTTGGAAACTATCTCCTCTCCTCACATTTCTGTGTTTAAATTTATCCCAAATAGTATCAGTATTGTGAATTGTTATGTGAATACCTTGCTAGAGATTTTTGTCCACCTCCTCCAATTACTGATGATCTTCATTAAGCTACTAGTAAGTGCCAGTCATAGAGCCAGGAAGAGGAGATGTAGATAGGAGGTTGGTAACATCTGTGAAGAAAAGGTGCAAAAGAGAAACTGAAGCTGTGCTACAAATTGATAAACACTAAGTCATTAACTTTTGGGAAGTTACACTTTTCAAATGGAGGGCATTGTATCTTGGAAGCTTAGACCCCTCTTTAAATTTTGCCCACCAAATACACTGTCAATCCGCTTGACAAGATATTCTGCGAAGCACTTTGAGGTGTTTTTAGACTCAACTCTTCCAAATTTAACAAGATGCCTGATGTGATGATCAGAGGAACCTGGAGCTCCATCATGCCTTGCTAACAACTGATAACTTTTCTAGGTTTTAATTGTTCAACATTTTGTTGAAAAGAAACGTTTGTATGCAGACACAACCGAATAGGGATCTATTGATTGTGGAAGTTGTTCCTGGAATGAAAAATAAATACTATATTCAAGTTCGTTTTCAAGCTTTCTTTCTATAGAATACATTTTATGGCAATAAAATCTTTTTGTTCAAATATTAATACACTGAGCAAGTAATGCAATGTTAGACATCCTACTGACGTGAAAGGCGCTATACTGTAAATTGTTTTGCAATGCGATTTCCGGGTTTACACTACACAGATTGTATAATATCTGAATCTTTTGTAACTGCATGTCTTTTCAATACAATTCAGTTTTTACACTGCTATTCTTAATAAACACCTATTTAATGAAGCGGAAATAGATATGTAATTGTTTGAAAGTCTTGCCTTATTTTTCTTTCCATTTGATGTATGCTGAATTCTAAGCAGCAAATCAAAGAAGATATGGTTTAGATGTGAAGGTGACTGAGGAAAGCTCTGTTTGAGGATAAAGTACAATATAATTTACATTAAAATAGTGGCTTTCATATCAGGAGGATATCTCAAAGTGCTTGACAAAAGCTAGGTGGGCACCTGAATTATTGTTTCACACACACATTAGTTAGGATATGGAATGTCCTACCAGGAGTGGTGGTTGAGACAGAATCTATATTAGATATCTAAAAAGGTATAAACTGCAGGGGTATGGGAAAATGGCAGGTAAATTATACTGAAATGATTGCCTTTAAAAGAGCCAGCACAGACACAATGTGCCGAATAACCATCTTCTGTGCTGTAAATTTCTATGGTTCTATGCTGAGTCAATGTTTCATTCCCCTAAAAAGTTACCAGCTGTGGTTAAAAATGATCATTTCTTAGATCATTTCATGGAATCTGCTATTTGGGTCTGAGATTGTGTTTTAAGATATAATTCTATCTTCTGGATTATGTTTCTGTCAATCAAAACCGTCTCCGGAACAAACTTACAAAGGTTGTATATTTCAAAAGATGTTTTTTGTTGCACAATCATTGGATCTACTGAATTTCACAAACAATCAGATTGATTCTTATGCTTTGTAAAGAATGAATAGAAGCACCTCAGAAAGCCAATTTTGTGTTAACAGTGAAATAGTTAAAATTTAATTTTAGTGTGAGCCAAACCCAACAACAACAACAACAAAATTACATTTGTAAAACGCCTTTCACATCGGGAGGATGTCGCAAGGCGCTGGACAGACAGCATTTTGCACCCGAGCTGGGGGTTGGGATTGGGGAGGATGGAGGGCAAGGGGCAAAGCAAGGAGATCAAAAGTACAGTCGAAGAGGAGGGTCTTGAGATGGGTCTTGAAGGAGGCAAGGGAGGGGGGGCGACAGACGGACTGCGGGATGCAGTTCCAGAAGGTGGGGGCAGAGTGGCAGAAGGTCCGGCCGCCAATAGAGGGGTGAGCGAGGCGGTGATGCGAAGCAGGCCGGAGCCCGCTGAGTAGAGGGAGCGAACAGGATGGTAGGGGGTTAGGAGGTCGCAGAGGTAGTGGGGAGAAAGACCGTGGAGGGGTTTGAGGGTGAGGGCCACGATCTTGAACTGTGCCCTCTGTGTGATGGGAAGCCAGTGGAGTTGGGTGAGAATGGGGGTGATAGGGTCGTGGAGCCTGGTGTGGGAGAGGACATGAACTGCAGAGTTCTGGATGATCTGCAGCCTGTGAAGGGAGGAGTTGGGGAGGCCGACATGCAAGGAGTTAGCATAGTCGAGCCTCCATGTAATGAAAGCGTGTATGAGGGTTTCAGCGACCTGCGGTGTGAGACAGTGTTGGAGTTGGGCGACGTTGCAGAGGTGCGGGTTATGGTGCAGATGTGGAGTAAAAAGGATAGTTGAGGGTCAAACAAAACATCAATATTCCGGACTGGCTTAGCAAGATGGAGTCTGTATCCATGGATGGTGATACTGTCAGCACCTGAGGTGAGGAGGCGCTGACAGCAGCCAATCAGGAGAGCTTCGGTCTTGTTGACGTTCAACTGAAGAAAATTTGCTCTTATCCAGGACTTGGTGTCTGACAGATATTCTGTCAGGACAGCAGTGATCCTGGAGTCATGGGTGGAGGCAGAGAGGTAGAGTTGGATGGCATCCGCATACATGTGGAAATTGCCCCCATTTCTGCAGATGATGTCACGAAGAGGAAATATATAGATATTGAAGAGGACAAAGCCCTGAGGAATGCCACATGAAACAGTGCGAGGGCTAGAGGAGAAACTGTTTGAGGAAATGAAGTGGAGGCGGTGGGAGAGGTACGATTTGAACCAGTCTTGACACAGCCGTGAAGGTTGAGGTGAGAGGAGAGGCGGTGAATGAGGATAGAGTGGTCGACAGTGTCGAAGGCAGCAGAGAGGTCAAGGAGGATGAGGAGGCAGTGGGAGTCCTGGTCGCAGAGGGACAGAATCTCATTTGTCACTTTGACCAAGGCTGTTTCTGTGTTGTGGGCGGCACGGAAACCTGATTGGAGGGGTTCATGGAGGGAGAGGAAGGAGCGAAGCTGGGAAGCAAAAACTCGTTCCATGACCTTGGAGAGGAAAGGGACGTATAATGCTTGTTGTTCATCTGCACATACTGTACAGTTTGGGTTTGTTTGATATTGTTCCCGCACAGATGACTAAAGACAGTAAAAACTGGTGCCTTTGTGGTGCTTTCCACTTCAGATCTCATTGGAGTGTATCTGTTAACTGTTTATGAAAATCCAGTCATTCAATTCAATAAGATTGTATCTGACTAGCTGAGTGAGTGTCCATCCACTTCACAAACATATTTGTCCAAAATATGAGAGTTTGCCCTCAGAATCCAGGTTAGGAAAGCTTGGGCATGGAATGCAGAATGGCTGGAAGCCCACCGGCCCATGATGGGGTGGATAAATTGCGGGACATTAAGCAGGTCAGTGTACCCTGAACGAAAGAACTGGTTGGGTCACTGTGGTTGAAGGAGGTTGCAGAGATAGAGTGGGGTGAGACCATGGAGAGATTTGAATGTGGGAAAGAGGATCTTGAAGTTGATCCACTGGGAAATGGGGAGTGAGTGGAGCTGAGCTTGTGGAAGCTATAAGGATGTTACTGAAATATTAAATCACTAATTAATTTCAGCATTCAAAAATGAAATAACAGGAGAAATGCCAGAGGTAGGGGTTCAGTTTCAAGGTGAATGTAAGTTTAACACTTTTAACGTTCACTACAAAATACACAGTCACAACGCTTTTAAGTATATCGCGTAGAGCAATTTGAGACATCTTCCTGATGTGAAAAGGCAGCAAATTAAATGCAAAGATAATTATTATTCCAGTATTGTTATTACAGTATAACATCACAAAGAGGATGTATTAGTGCATCACGTAAATGGTTTTTCATGCTCCTTTGTGCGGGTGTCTAGGTACATGTTTAATAGGACTGTTTCCTTTAGATTTTCACTTGGCTGTTTTGAGCTGTCAAAAATATTTAGCATGTACAGAACTCCCCAGGGTAAAGCACCACATGTGTCCAAAAATGCCAGCAATTGTTAGAGATACAACGGTAAAGGTGAAGCATTAGCATGTTGCTGGTTTTCCAATCTGTATGTCAAAAAGATAATTATCATAGAGAAAACAAAAATATAATTTGCATGAATTTAACAAACATGAATAGCAATCACACCATTTGTATTGCTAGATTATTAGTGTCAAATGTGGATGTTTTGGTCTGATGTTTGGTATAATTTGTAATTTCCAGGTTTGCTAGCAGTCTGTGCTCTAGGCAAACAATTATATAAATGGACTCACAATACCTGATTATTCAGGTCAAAATGTGTGATTTATAGTGCACAAAGAAAATGAAATCATATTGGAACATTTACTCACAACAGTGGCTAAATTATACCCATTACTAAAATAATGACAGTGGGATAGAAATTCCACCTACGTCAAGATTTACTCTATGAGAGGTTAAACTGAGGCCCCGTCAGCCTGTTCAAATGAACATTAAAGATTCCACGGCACCATTTGAAAAGAGAAGAGAGTTTCTACTGGTGTACTGGCCAACAGTCCCCCCAAATAATGTTGTTTTATTAATGCAGCTTAACTAGCCTCGCAAGCGAGAAGACCTGGGTTCGATTCCTGGGCTTGGGGAAACGTTGGGCAAATTTCCTTACTGCACACGCCTCTGTTCACCTAGTGGATTGCTTTTCCGGGGATAACCTTTCAAAAAAATAAAAATAATACTAATGTGGTCACTCAATCCATAACTGTTTGTGGAACACTGCTGTGCACAATTGGCTGCATCGTTTCGCCCACAAAATTTATGTCAATTCACTTTACAGTATATTCTGTGAAGTGCTTTGAGACGTCTCAAAGACGTGATAAGGCCAATATCAAATGCAAGGATCACTATTATTTATTCCTGTTTGGGGGACATTGTTGTGTGCAAATTAGCTGCCATTCACCCTCAAAACACACAATACTTCCACTTTACAGTGTATCTTGGGAAGCACTTTGGGATGTCTTTCTGAGATGAAAGGCGCTATACCTAATGCAAGGATTATTAATGTTATTATTTCAGAGTGTGCAGGAGTTGTTAAATGCTTAAATATCATCATAATTGTGAAGCCAGTTTTCCGTAAGCTCTTTATAGAACTATAATGATAATTTTTGCATTTAGAATACTATTGTTGAGAGGTAAATAAAGAACATAAAGAAAAATACTGAAGGATTTTATAAACTCATGAAAAGAATAAAGAAAAGGTCAGGCCAATTAGAAATGCAAAGAGAAACCTAGTCATAGAAAATAAAGGTGTGGCAGAGATACTTAATGAGTATTTTGCCTCAATTTTTACAAAAGAGAGTGGGAGTGAGTTATTTAGTGAACAAAAGGCAAGTGCGCAGCAATTAGAAGGGATAACTTGGAGAGGGTGACATCCTACTACCAGGATAGTACCAGGAATGAGGGACTTCAGTTATCAGGAGAGACTAGAGAAGCTAGGATTCTTCTCCTTGGAGCAGAGAAGGATAAGAAGAGACTTAATTGAAGTTTTCAAAATTAAGAGGGGATTCGATAGGATGAACAAGGAGAAACTATTTCCACTGGCAAGTGGGTCGGTAACCCGAGGACACCGATTTAAAATAGTTGCTAAAAGGAACAGTGGGAAGGTGAGGAGAATTTTTTTCACACAGTGAGTTGTTTCATATCTGGAATGCATTGCCTGAAAGGGTGGTAGAAGCCGATTTGATAACAACTTTTAAAAGTGAAGTAACTAATTATTTGGGGAGAACAAGTCTATGGGAGAGCGTGAGGGAGTGGGATTGATTTGGACAGCTCTTTTCAAAGAGCCGGCACAAACACGATGGGCCAAATGGCCTTTTACTG